TGTGGGCGGCTTTGCTGCTGCTGTGGTCCTTGTTGGTGATGTGGTCCTTGTTGGTGCTGTGGTCCTTGTTGGTATTGGGAACGTTCCTGCTGTGGGTGGCTTTGCTGCTGCTGTGGCCAAGTTTGCTGGAGACCTTGTTGGTGCTGTGGTTGCGCTTGCTGCCGTTGTGGTTGTTGTTGCTGTTTACGGCTTTGCTGGGGACCTTGTTGGTGCTGTGGTTGCGCTTGCTGCCGTTGTGGTTGTTGTTGCTGTTTACGGCTTTGTTGCTCTTGTTGTTGTGGACGTTGTTCCTGTGGTCTGGTTGGCTGCTGCTGGGGGCGTTGTTGGTGTTGTGGCCGTTTTTGCTGTCTTTGAGTCTGTTGTTGTTGTGAACTTTCCTTCTGTTGTGCTCCCTGCTGTTGTGAACTTTCCTTTTGTCCACCTAGCAATATAATATAATACTAGTATACTTGATATCCTTTTTGCACAGTTAAATGGGATATAACTTCATACAAAAAAAAATCAATTGTTCATATAAAACACTATTTGCACCAATTAAAAAAGGAAAAAAGACGGTAAAAAAATCTCATTTTCGATGTAAAATTCGAAATTGTGTGTTTCATTGATTAAGATCATCCACTTCAAATATAAGTACATATGTCCAACATATAAAGTTTCTGCTATCAGATATAACCCTGTTTTAACCAACATTTACATTTTGTTTCACTCATATTCCATTTTGTAAGGTACAAGGTGTACAATCGTTTAAAAAAATATACATGCAAAAAGGAGATCAAATGCAACATAATTTTTGCATATAGCAAAAATATATATTTTTGATAAATAGACTAATTTTTACTTCAGTTTAAGAATTTTTGAAAAATTATTAAATTAACAAAATTGTATGAGAATAATCAATTATGAGTCATATATTTTGCAAGTGTTTTGATATGAATGTGTTAAAATTCACAATTCGGGGAACTCCAAAAATTACTAATCAAAAATTATGAGCATTTTATATTTACTTTCTTGCGGAGGTGCAGATTGCTTTGGTTGTGATGTGCCTGGTTGTTGGGACTCCAATTGATGCTGCGGATTCTCTTTAGGTTTTTGTTCAGGCTGTCCACCAGCTTCGGACTTTTTATTTTCTGTGGCAGATCGTACATATTATCGCAATTTCACAAGAACAAAGCACACGTATGTATATAAAACTTACTGTTTTTTCTTCCCATTTTCAACAATTTTTTTAAGATGTCAAAGGGTCTTCCTCTATAGACTATTTTTATCTTAGACAAACTGTATCAAATTTAATTATTTTCAGATTTAATTTATAATTTATTGTTATATTACGAGTGTCTCGCGAACGTTTAACGAACACGTAATTTCGGCCTTGTATGTATACCTTCAACTCTTGGAGATGCCATGTGAAAAAATAAGCAATCACCAGATTCTATAGCGCCTGCTACACGTTCAATATTTGTAATGTTAACCGCGATACCGAATGGCGATATTTTGAACGTTTATTATGCAATATTGATGTATCGCTATAAATATTAGCCGATGGAACAAAGCTTTGAAGAAAAAATTAAAAATCGTGCGATTTTTTATTAAAATTGTGTTTTCCATTTATATTTATAGACAAGAATTAACATATTCAAATATCACAATTAAAGACGAATACTGACCCGATAATTTAATGTGTATCATTTAACTGCAATCCATCAATTCTTAACATGGATCACGATCCAAATATCACAATAAATATTAAATATATGACAAATGCTTATGAAATGGAGCGAACCCAACAAGCATGAAATTCGTGAGTATTAGGGTGGTAAAATCATTTTGATTTAAGATTTTCTACAAATATGTTTATTTAAATTATACGTCAATTACCACAGATCCCTTACAATTAACAAAACTTACCGAAACTTTTGGGTATATACGATCGCTCAACACTCTTTTACGTGTACTGTCTTGTATGAGTTATATAATTTTAGGCCGGTCGCGAAACTCTTGGGTAAATGTATATGATCGCTCAACACTATTTTAAGTGTACTACATTGGATGCGTAGAAGAGTGATGAGCGATCCGCAACCGGCATAAAAATACATAACCCTAAAAAGAACGCCTGGCGCTTAACACCTTCCTGGAATTCCAGTTATTATCTTATCTAGACTAGACCACGTCCTGCAGACCATTATCCTACTTTACCTCCAAATAGGGGTATATAAAAAAATTACAACAACTGAAACATCCAGTGCTTCAATTCTATATTCTTCAATGTCAAGTAGCACAAGTACCAAGAGCCAAGGATAATACTAATAAATATTCGACAACCAAAATGTCATAAGCTTGCAAACTTGGAGCAATATTATCGTTGAATGCTACGAAAATTTTGCCTATAAAACATGGAATTGTTTTATTCACATCACCTTAGAATGTATTAGTATTCTCAATGGGTCAATTTAATTAATAATGTCCAATTCGAAATACCATTATATTTATTTAAGACCGCATTTTATTAACAGGTCTTCTACCAAATACCTATACATGCACATACATATGTAAATGGATGCATACATACAGTATCTACCCATATAAATAGGATGAAGTACTTAAGCGTTATCTTACTTGATTTTGATTACATAGAAGCTATATTTGTATTATTCCAAGAAAGCTTTTAAAAAAGCTTGTTTTTAACAAAATTCACTATAAATACAACAAAAGACTCATTTATATCGAAAGTATCCTACAGAAATATTCATATAGTATATATTTTAGTAAACAACTTGACGGTTAGAAGAAGTTCTCTTTCCTTTTGGTAGTCTTTGTATGAAACCAACATCATGATATTGGTAACGCTACTGTTCGTATATATTTTTTCTACTGTGACTGCTCTATCGCAGTCCCAATCAGATGGCTGCCTATATAATCTGCCAATGCCGACAAAGCCTGATCCTGAGGATTGTGTTGGATATTTTGCACTTTACGATAATGAATACATACAACAATATTGTCCACCAGGTGCAAAATACAGCGATGCTTTGAGTTGCTGTATAATAGGGCGTTGCCCCCCATGCAATTGTCAAACAACAACCACAATCTCGTCAGACTCTACAACTTCTGGAAATGATTGTAGCAGTGTCGAGACAACTTTTGCTACTAGCAGCAATACAATAAGCGACTTCACAAACGATTCTACTGAAGAAACCACAGGTTCCTCTTTTGAAGATAGCAGTACTGAATCTCCTCAGTCATCTTCGACAAGTTCGAGTTCAACGGATTATTCCACTGATACTTCTCCCAATAGCGAAGACACAACGAATTTGTCAACTGAAACAACGCTTATTACAAATGCTTCAGATGGCACCACTTCCAAAACAGAGATCTCCAGTGACACGCCAACCAGCGAAGAAACTTCGACAATGACAAGTTCGACCAATGGTCAGCCGGAAACACCTCCAACTGTTTCCACTGATTCCACAACAAATACTGATAACCCCATAACATCACCTGAGCCTCCGGGTGGGAAAACAACTACTAAGGATACCACAACAGATTCAACTCCAGCTGTGACTTCCACAACGGAGATTACTACGGATCTTACAACGACCACTACATCATTAACGCCTACCACAACTGATTCTACTCCAGCTGTATCTTCCTCTACAGGTCAAACAACAACAACTGTCCCAGCGCCTCCATCATGCGAAAACTTGAAAACAGGAACGTTCCTTCCTGATCCAGTTGACTGCAACCGTTATTATGTATGCAGTTATGGACAAGCTATACTGATGCATTGTCCGCCGACACTTTGGTTTGATGTAAAACTAAACGTGTGTAACTATCCTGAAAAAGTAACATGTGATGCGAGTGGTCGTCCTGAAACATCTCCAGATTTTACAACCACAACTACACCCAGTACGCCTACCACAACTGATTCTACTCCAATTGTGACTTCCACAACGGAGAGTTCTACGGATCCTACAACGACCACTACATCATTAACGCCTACCGCAACTGATTCTACTCCAGCTGTATCTTCCTCTACAGGTCAAACAACAACAACTGKCMCAGCRCCWCCATCATGCGMAAACTTGAAAACAGGAACGTTCCTTCCTGATCCAGTTGACTGCAACCGTTATTATGTATGTAGTTATGGACAAGCCATACGAATGCGTTGCCCGTCGACGCTTTGGTTTGATGTAAAGCTAGACGTTTGCAACTACCCAGAAAATGTAACATGTGACACGAATCAGAACTGATGCTGACTTTTGTGAGTATTTGTCGATAGTATGTACATATGTATGTATGTATATCAATAAATTAAAAAATGCTGTAAAGTGTTAAGTAATATTATTATTGGAATAAAATTATTATTTTCTGAACTCTTTAAACTCGAAAATATATATTTATTGTCTGTAAGTACACACTAGCATCATACATACATACATATGCGCATAGCACAGTTTCTACTAGTGCTATGAACTCTATTCAAGATTCCTTGTTGTCGGATATGGATGCCCAGCGATTTTGCATACTCGTATGTATATATAAGTATAAATATAAATAAAAAGAAGAGAGTTATACTCTGAGGAATTTATAATTTAACACTTTTTTGGACGGACTTTTGTTTGTACAACTCCATTCAAAGTTTTATTTTCCAAATTTCGTCCGCTCCCGAACAGAAGATATAATTTCACCAAACTGATAGTAATGATAAGTAATTATGAGCAGATGATAAAGAGAAGAAAATTGATTTTATTAAAAGGTATTGATTGTACATAATAGACATAAATTGAAAACTTCCGATATGATCGACCTTAGGACGTACATAATATATATGTACATATGTAATAAAATTAATGTTCACTCAGGCTCCGCATTCAGTTAATGGAAGTTCGTGAAGTTGAAAAGAATTGTGTTGAGTTAGAATAAGTAGTGCTAAATATTTGAATTGCTACAGATTTCCTAACAATTTTAAATAAAAAGAATACAAATATTAAGAAATAGAGCAAATCGTTGCAATTTTTTGGCTACAAATTTGGATAAATTGGAGAAAATGCGATATCAAATGATTTTAATGGCATTCATTTTAATGTTACTTTACTTACGTGTAACAAACGCAGAAATATTTGAAGAATGTAAAAATGAGCCTGACGATACATTTGTAAAGAGTTCACAGAGTTGTCAAATGTATATATATTGTAATGGTGACGATTCCTATTCAGGAGAATGCGATGAAGGTCAATATTTTGATGGTGATGCTTGTGACGATGCGGAAAATGTTTATTGCTTTTTGGATGACGTTGGCGAGTCAGATCCTGAGGACCCGGAAGAAACTGGGCCAGCTGATACAACGAGACCAACCGCTGCAACAACGACCGAAACTCCACAAATAACCACCAATAATGATTTGAGTACAAGCACTTTAGAACCGATTGTCGTTGCGCCAATGGTAAGAGATCACTGTCCCACGGTCGAGGATCCACAAACAATCGTATTCACGGCGAATACTCAGTCTTGCACAGGCTATTATCTTTGTTATCACGGTCAAGCCATTGAAATGCGTTGTACGGATAATTTACACTTCAATATACATACCGCTAAATGTGATTTTCCCGAAAATGTGCAGTGCATGGTGAGTTTTCAGAAAGACAAATGTACATTATTAAGTTCGTAGCACAATTACCAAGCGCGAATTAAGTTTAATAAGTTTATTACATATATTCATCTAACTAGAACTAAAACTGTACATGGTAGAAAACGATACACACTTTACCACGCAAAAACCTAACTCATCTTTAGCATTTAGCCTAAGGTTCATTAGTTTGAGAAGGTGTTCGAACCCATTTACGCTTCAGAGCTTTGATAAAATCTGATTGGCAGATATAGCAGAGAATTGTTCACACTTCCGGAAACTCCTTCGAGTTCCGGAAGCAGTACAGCGGACGCACACCATAGTCAGGCTATTGCAATGAGACGCCTTGGAGTCTTATTTACAAGCGGTCGTACCAGCAGCTTCTTACAACCAATTATATAAGCTAGTGTATATCATAGTAGTCAACTGTCAGAAGTTATAGTGACCAACAATTTTGACTTTGTTGCTATAGTACATATGTATAAGTATATTAAGAATGTATTTAAACTTAAATTCCCATATTTCATTTATCCAGATCGATCGACCAAATGCGAATAAATGTTTACCACAGGTCACCGACTTCTTTCCGCATCCACAGAAATGTAATTATTTCTATTACTGCATCAAAGGTTTTCTAACGGTGCAGCAATGCCCTTTTTATTACGGATGGGACATTGAAAGGCGTTCTTGTGTGCTTCTTGACCAGGCAAAATGTTTTGAAGGCTCGAGGCGTGCATGAGAAAGGTGGATGCGTAAATGAACTATATATGTATACATAAATGCACATCTACTTATTTCGATATAGATATTAACAATTGCCTTAAATAATAATTTATGAATCTTTAGATTACACATACATATGTATGTAAATAAAAAACTTATTTTCTATGCAAAAGTGGTGAACTAAATACATATATGTCTATATGTAAATAAGACCCAATAGTTTGAATTCGGTTAGATAAAAAAATGAGGAGCATGTAAAGTTAGTGCTTTGAAGGTATTCTGACGCATCGTCAACTATCAGTCATTCCGTTGGTATTTCATTTTAGTAGAGTGGTCGTCACGTTCAATTTATGAGAACATATCGACAATTTCTATTTTGCTATATTGCATTTGCAATCAAAATGAATTTCAATGTTTACGCATACACAGTTGCAGGCATGTGTACATCACTAAAATACATAGGAGACATCAGATAAAAGCCTGTTGATAAGCGCCATCAAAGCTTGTCGTGGAATTCGCGTAAATATTTTTATATATTATATGTACATAGGTGCGCATGTGAGCAAATACTTTGCAGTAAAACAAATAAATTTGCTTTACAATTAGCACGTGCTTCTGGATAAAAATAGTACTAGTCCGAAACAGCCAGATTTGTATGGTGAGTTATTGTATTTCGCTTCAAGAATTTTATAAAATGAAGTATGCGACATAATAGATTAATTTGAAAAGGTTTATGATACTTTATTTGCTTTCATTTCTTAATTTTATTAAACTACAAGGTTATCCTTGACATCTGACCAATACATATGTACACATTTGAAGTATGAAGCAATGCTTACGGCCATCCGGCTCGTGATTTTAGGCGATTGGAGTCAAACTTGGCACCTATACTTAAGATCCCAATATCAGATAAATAGAGAAGTGGATTCGGAGGTATGCGCAAATAGTTGACAAGACACTGGAACATTATCTATGCAATGCCTAGCCTTCACCGTACCAGACGGGTCCAAACTCCAACTTGTGAGACATGGAATCTTTTTTACCAGTGTGGCAGTCACGCGTTTTCCTTTTCAACAAATAAACCAACTACAAGGTTTTGTTTCACAATTGAACTAGATTTCAGTATCGCTTGGAACTACTTCCCTTCGGAATCGGATAATTGACATTGGGGAGGGCATCACAACGTAAACGAAAAACGATTATTCATTTGTAAAAAATAAAGTTAGCTATTTCTACTTGAAGTTCATAATAGTTGTGAAGTGGCCTATGAGGAGATACATGTTTATTTTGTCCTGAATATTACAACCTACTTGAGATTACACAATCAGTAACGGAAGTTCTTGAGAATATAATCAATAAATTTTTACATTTACTCTTTTATACACACATACATGTATTTGTAATATAACTGGCTATACAAACATACATATAAGTATATTAATTTTGAACATCCGCTTAGATCAAGAGCAAATTGCAGAGTGGCTAATTAAAAGTTGCCTCTTTTTACAAATTGTTACAAATTATTACAGTTTACTTATGAACATAATTATATACATATGTATATGACCTACCTTCCGTGCATGGAATCACAGCGGTAAGGCTATTCTTGATATCGATTCTTATACAGGACAGAATCGTCCTCTTCGTAAAGTTCCCACGACAGTCGGTTCTAGGTAACCTGGATTGGAGTCTTTGTTGTTATTCCCATTCCATGGTATAATGTGGGCATGCACACTCTTATAGGTAAATAAACTAAGATTTTTGTAAATTAAAAACATGTCATTGGCCATGTGCAGATAGCATAGGTTTGGATAGATAGCATACTTTCTGCCAATTTATTATTTCTTGTATGTTCATACATATCTACATTTATGAATGTATTTACATACATATATGCATAACCATACCAAAATTGAAGTTTATTGAAATCACACAACACTCTGAAGACAATCTACATACATTATCGAAATGAATGCCTCTGGCACCACTCGCCCATCCGTCAACATGAATTCAAATTGTTTAGTTGTGCCTAACACATCATCCATATAACACAAGATATATTTATACATTTGGGCGATCGGAAAAATATCTAAAATTTTTTTTTTTTTTTATTGAAATAATAGAGATGTCTAGTCGTCGATGGTATCATGAACTCACCGCGTTTTTGATCTGTTCCTTTGTAATCGGTGTTTATAACGACACCTATGAGGCATGCGAAAATAAACCAAATTACGCATTTATAACCAGCAATACGTCTTGTAGACATTACATATACTGTGCTGGTGACGAATCCTATGAGGGCGAATGCGCAGATGGCGATTATTTTAATGAACTATTGCAAACATGTGATCCCGAGCAACTTGTTACCTGCCAGCTTTACAACACAAGCAGCCCCAACCCCAGCTCCATGCAAACGGCACCAACCCAAGCTGCAATGAACACAACAGCCAGTTCAACATTTTCTTCTACAGTAATAGCATCCAGCACGTCAGCACCAATACAGATTACGACCAGCCAGACGAACTCTGATAACACGAGTACCACAAGTGCGTTGAGTGAATCTATTGCAACTTCAGTGGCTCCGCCCGTAACGGAGGGCGCTATAGCCATTATAATATCAACCGAATGTCCGTTAACGGATAATCCAAATCAAATGATTTTCGTGCCACATCCGAAAACTTGCTCAGATTATTTTATTTGTTTTCGCGGCCAACAAATGGCAATGCACTGTTCTTCTATGCTCCATTTTAATTCCAATACCGGCAAATGTGATTATGCGGAGAACGTTCGGTGTCAGGTAAGTGTTTCGGATTTTGGTATATTTAAAATCGCTATTTTAATCGTATTTGTACCATCGTGTAATGGTGGAATACGCTTTACTTCAATGAGTGAAGAAGAAAGGAGGGGTTCAGTGACAATTCCTCCCGTGCCCGGAGTTTTCAGGGTGTCATGGTGCTCTGCAACAATGATTGCAGTTTTTTCCCCCAACAATACACTACAATCATCTTCGGGGCTCAGCTTCCTCTCTACGCTTGGAGACATCAGAGGCCCAGCTGCTCTCCAGCATTTATTCCAGCTTTTTTAAGCTACTTTTCAGTATAATCAACCTCGGTTTCGGTTTTCTCTCTACGGCCCTGATAACAGTAAATAAATGTTTTTCGTAAAATTGTTTTGATTTTCAGTAATTTCGGTTAGCACATGTCTTTTTTACTTTATTGATTATTTTATGTCTGAATTAAATGAAAACTCATTTCATGCATCACCTTTACAGACTGTTTTCAGCAATCCAAGAGAGCAATGCCAGCTACATACGACCGATTTATATCCTCATGAAACGAATTGTAACTACTTCTATTCCTGTCGCAATGGATATCTTTTGCTGCAGCAATGCCCCTTTAAATATGGCTGGGACTTTGAACGACGAGCATGTACGGCGCTTCAGCAAGCAAGTTGTTACAACAGAAGAATAATGCAATGATTTCAAGAAAACGTATTTATAATTTTACGTAATAAAAATGTATCAAAAAATGTTTTCATATTTATGGTATTACGAATTTTAGCGAGTTACATTTATGGGAACATTCGGTGGGTTTTTGGGATGAAAGCGCAAAATTGAATTTGAAGTTTAAATACATACATCAATTGTTGCTAGGTAAGGGACAACAATGGATGATTTCTTAAGTGCGGCCGCCTGCGGTTTAGTGCTTATTCGCCTCCCTTTTCAACCCTTGCAACCAAGGGCCATCATGGGCGATATTAGTCAATAAAAATTTGCACCTACAATTTCGTCAAATTATAAATGTTGTGGATTTTTAAGAGAGAGAAAACCCCGACCGAACGTCGAACGTGAAATTGCTATTAAACGTAATTCAAATGATTTTTGTAAATGTATTTACCACTTGTGTGGTTGTGTGTATAAGTCAGCTATTTAAATATTGAGCGGAAATTAAAATGTCGTAAAGCGCTATTCTCTTGTTTCGATATTACCCCTGATATTATCTTATTTTGAACGAAGTCTTTGGTTTATAGCATAAGGATACTAACACTAATGCACATATATGTATACCATACATACATATTTAAATTTAACCGCTACTGTGCGCTTACACCGTTATATGTACAACTTAATTAATGAAAAAATGTATGTGTGTATGTACGCTTGTAGATACATACATATATCGCAATATCTCTTGGTTGGGGCTCAAAATTGAACATAAAGTTAGAATATTTCACATGGTGCATTGCAAAGCACGCAAATTCACTCACAAAAAAAATTTTTTTACGCATTTAGGAAGTGCCTATAAGAATGTCGTTGGTACTGATGACACCGCTGAAAGGTACAACAAAACATAAGTGCATAAAACTTTACGAGGCTATACATAAAAAATCTTTTACTTTCAATCATTGACACAGTTGCGTACATTTGTTTGGCCTGGACAACAATAATACAACAATCCCAATCATATACGTCAAATTCCATAACACCGCCTAAGAAAGGGCGTCAAAATAATATATGTCGAAACCACACCGCTGGAGAATTCGATAGAAACCCTGATGATTGCCGGTCATTCTACCTGTGTTTGGAAAATGGACAGGCAGTGATGGCGCCCTGCCCGCCGACTATGCTTTTCAATTCCGTCAGTAAACTTTGCGACACCGCCGAAAATGTCAATTGTAACATTACTATACCAAGTAGTGGCAGTAATAACAATAACAATAATAGTAATAATAACGGTAACACTGATGATGATGACAACAGCGAAGCTTTAAGTGCTTCCCGATATTGTGCCTCACTGCAAACTATGCAAAACCGCATCGTTTTCGTTGGCAGCAATAGTAATTGCCAGCAATACTTCATATGTTATTATGGGCAGGCGGTGTTGCAGGAATGTAGTGCCAACCTACACTGGAATAAAAAAATTGATAAGTGCGATTTGCCCGAAAAAGCTGGTTGTGAGATGTGGAACGGCGACGTCGGTATCGGTCAATACACATCCGTAAACGATAATGGTGACCATGCCAATACTGTTGACGAGCTATCAAATGGAAGTGAATATGCTGCACAATCCACAAGTGCTGAATTAATCAATTGTCCAATATATGGACAACATGTATTTCCGCATATGTCGCGTTGTGAGTATTTTATTTACTGTATCAAAGGGCATGCTTCATTGCAGAAATGTCCCTTTTACCACAATTTCGATATTGTGTCGAAAAGCTGTAAATGGCGCACAACCGCCGTTTGTGTTCGAGATTTAAATATTAATTTTAATAAATTAATTGCTAAATAAGCTGCAGCCAGTAACATTTTTCTTATGTATATTATGTGTATGTGTGTACGACTGACAGAATAGAATATAATTTGAAGTTTGAACCGCGACCTAAGGTCTATTGTGTCGTCTACTCCAGCACTCTGATGAGTTCTAGGAACTTGCTAAAGGCCATTGAGATGATGTGATGCCTATCCACATAAATACTCAGGAGTTTCCGTGCGACTTGTAGACGGAAGGTTCATCACGCCTTTAAAACTTGCTATGTTGTAACCTACCAATACCAATTTGGAATGACGCATACCTATGTCTGGCTGACAGTAACAATAGAATACAACAATTATTTATTAGTTTGCATTTCATACAAGTTTACTTGTTTTGAAATTAACTATATGTTTAAGTTAATTTCAAAACAAGTAAACTTGTAAGTATGTAAATATTTGTATATTTATGTGTGAATATCATATGCATACTTGTAATTAAATTCCTGTTCGCTGCATACTCCTATCTGGGTTAGCATTGGATAATCACAGTTAATCAATTGCATAGATAAGACAGCCGTTATAAAAGGGCCTAAGTTTAGGTAACGTTATGTTAGTTATATATATTCTTGCAACTGATCCGTGCCAAACTAATATGTTAGGTGATTCATTAAACAATAAAATAATGGAAGTTATTTAATTTTTATAAATATTGTTTTAGAACCGAAAATATTTAAATTCCTTGCAACCGTTTTTACGGTAACCACTTGGTGCGAGGGATTTTTAAATAGCACGATGACAGCTCCACAAGATTCACAGCGATGTTATGACAAACCTTATGGTTTTAAGATTGCCGACACTACTGACTGCCTTGGATATTTTATCTGTCATGGCGATATGATCATACAACAATATTGTCCACCGGGACAGCGATTTTATGCTTCCTCGCAAATGTGTCAGATTGGAAAATGTCCGCCCTGTGATTGTGAGATTGATTGTAGCAATGTTCCTGATGGCACCCTGTATGGCGACTGTATGCATTGCCGATTCTTCTGGGAATGCGTTAGTGGCCGAGCAGTACATCGCTTTTGTGAGCTTGGTAAGTGGTACGATCGCGCTAAATACGTTTGCAATTATCCAGTCTACGTAAACAACTGTGCAGTTAATCAAGATTAAAAATAAAGTATTTAAATAAAAGAAAACTGTATATAATTATTTGAGTCGATACCTTTTTCCAATTTTCACAAAAATATTCATTAGCATTATTATGTTGTTTGGCAATGTGAGTTATAAGCAATTTTCGTTGGCAATATTGCTCTGTAAAATTATCAAGATTACAACTATTGCCTGCGGAGACTGAATGTTTCTGCCAGCGTCAAACGTCATTTCTCTGAATCCCATCGTTTAGTAAATGTAAACAAAATTAATGTGGCGTAATTACAATAGATTTTAAAAACATAAAACTTGATGAGTGACCCAAAATGAAACAAGAAAATTGTGCTCATAAAGAAACGATAGAATATACGCACACCACTGTGCCTTCATCAATGAGAAGTCCTTATTGGAAGTATTTTGGATTTCCTGCCGATAGTAATAATAAAATTTTGACTCGGCAAAAAATTATATGTACGATATGTGGTGCTGCTATTACATACAACAAAAATACATCTAATCTTCGTACGCATCTTATATCGCGACACCCTGAGACTCTGCATCAAATGCATAATCATCAAAGGCAGCCAAACCCAGGGTGCTCTAGTAGTTGTGACATGACTGATGCTGGCGATTTTAATAGTGTCACTATATTGAACGAAATGGGAAAGGATGAATGTAACTCGGATAAATTACACTTAAATAGAAGTGATAAGGGTGATCCTAATGTCAGTAGTCTATTAAAAATAAGACGTCTAAATACAACGAATGCACAAGAGCTTAAAGTGGAACTAATGGCTTCCCATGGTCTAGTAAGCCATCCGCAGCAAAATGATTATCAACATGAACATACGGTAGATTTCTCAGCTGTTGAAATTAATTGTGGTTCTGATTATCACTCGGTAAGACACGAAAACAAGGAAATCGACAAAGATGAGCATGAAGCGATTACAGAAAATGAAACCAGTTATGAATTTTTAACTTCGGAAACAGAAAATGATTTGAAAAACGATGAAAATATTGAAATTAATTGCTCCAGTGATTTCAATGTTGCGGATATGAACCCCGACGCGATTGCATTAACGGAAGATGAAGCAGTCATAATTGACAATGAGATTTCTCAAAAACCTATGTTTGTATATTGCAATGACTCATTGCCATGCTCAATTGATTTGACAAAAAAATCAAATGGAATAACTCACAACGAACTTCTTGTAAATATGTTGGTGTCTGATTTACTGACGCTTAACGTGCTTCAAGGAGTGGGTTTCAAACAATTACTTAATACGATAGGTTTTGTCAATGTGGATAAAGAGCCAGTTGAGAGCAAAATATTGGCCGATTATTCAAAAATGAAATGTACACTTAAAAAATACATTGCTTTACATTTGTTGCAACAAGATAAACCCTATTCATTCAGTATTGAAAACTTTAAAAATAATGGGGGAACTGACATAATAAGTGTTTATGTAAACTTCCACATTTTCGACGTTGAATATAAATTTGAGAGTATTTTATTAGAAGAAATTGTTTGTAGCAAAAATACAGATTTAATTCGGTCGCTACAAGACTTCGATCTTAGTCGTTGTGCAGCGATTGTAACAACTAACGCAAACAACTCAATTGTTAAGGAATTTGCACTCGCGAATGGTAAGAATTAGTGTTAACATAATTATTATTTAATTTACTTAATGAATTTTTTATTTAGGTATCGAAATAGTACCATGCGTAGGGTCAGTATTAACCCGATGTCTTTCTTTGATCTTCCAACAAGATGTGGTATCTGATTTATTTGAACAAATTTTTGAAATAAGTGAGGTATGAACATTTATTTATGTATATTACAATATGAGTGTGAAATGTCAAAAGTATAACTATTTTTTAATATTTTTAACATTTAAAAATTATATTTAGAAAAACCCTTATATCATTGATGTGTTTTAGAAGAATTTAAACTTATCAATTGTGAGATTATATTGCCCATGGTGGAAACTAAAGCTTCTTCAGGATTTTTTCGATAGTCCTTTAGCGGCAGATGAAAAGTACAAGAAAATGTCATCAGAACTGGGAAGGTTCATTACATATATTAAGCCCTTAAAGGTACATGCATTCGTAGATATCTAATTTTATTTGAATACGAACTTACTCCTTTTAAATAGATTATGTTTGATACAATAAACTCGGAGCAAATGCCGTTCAGCACACTCGTGCGTCCGTTGGTAATGCAACTATTCGATGAACATTTTTTAAAATTCAATACTAATGACAATGCTTGTTTGCAATCAGCGCAAAAAATTGTTAGTACTGAGTTACGTAGTAGGTATGTAAAACAGTTCACAAATATACGCATATATGTATTCAAAAAGTACTCTTTGGTTTTTGAATATTTAATTACAGCATTGCTGGATGTTCATTTTTTTCTGAAGCAGTGCTTTTTGATCCACGATTTCAACAAGATTTCATTCAATCCAGCCCACAGCCAACACTACAGAAACAAACCGATTGTTTTGGCAGTATTCATCGTTCAGAAGTAATACTGTCGGTATATAATCGGTATCCACATTTGCTGAAGCAGTTAAACTTGAAAATAAAACTGGAACAAAATCGCATAGGTGCCTCGTCACAAGCAGTGTCGAAATCATGTTGGTAACCAGAAGAATATGCGTATTTCTTTTAGTAATCTTATTTATATCTTGCAGGTTTACGATCGTTTTTCCAGCGTATTAGCAATCCCGCCGGTGAGACGAATTTTCAAAACATTAACAACACACCTTCCAAACAGTCGCATCCGAAAGTTGCTATGGATTTGGAATTTAATCGATACAAATGTGAACAAACGTTAGATTTGGAACTATGCCCTCTAGTTTGGTGGCAAACACATTCTGAACGCTACAAATGTCTGCATAAAATCGCAAATTATTATTTGAGTGTGCCGTGTTTAACACCACGGTGGCTAACGAGTGGCCAAGAAGAAGTGGAAGTAATCGATAGAAGCCAGTGGTGGCAAAAAAGTAAGTCACTGCAGTATCTCCATACAGCAGAGAAGTGCATATGGTATTTGCGTTACAATCGTAGTATATATAACAAAATGCTGGCCAAATCAACTAAAGAGCGGTCTGCGTGAAAAAGCTGAAGTTGGAAAAACTCGTATCCCAATGAGATATTTCTACATACAATGCGATGTAAACAATAGCTAATAGTGGGTCCTTTTCAACTCACTGACAATTGTCGTAGACATATATTAATATATTTACGGAATAATTTTAATATACATACATATGTATATTGGAGTATGTATCAGAAATGTAAATGTGCTTTATTTTGGCAATTTTGAAAAGCACGGCAAGTTAAGAAAATAATTATTTATGTATTTCAAAGTAACGGTGGTTTCATTTATTCAAACAAATGAATTAAATAATTCTGTAGTATACATATATAAAATTGTTTATTTGATATTTCTTTAATTTTGAAATTTTTATAAGTATATTTTAAATACTTTGTTTACATAGAGGACTGAAAATAATTAAAATTAGTATTCTATATTTGAAATTTGGCTTAATTGGTGTTTTCATCCTTAACAATTATACGGCAGCATCATCCTTAAAAATTCTCACTAAATGTGATACAATTTCAGAAAATGCAGAAAAGAAATTATATTGCTAATGGGTTTTCAATTCATGGTAATTATTTTATTAAACTATCTTTACTTCTGTATAGCCACAAACATAATATGTTGTTATTGTTCGGAGGATACATTGTATGTACTATATCTAGTATTTATGATTATGCATGCATGGAACTCGAAACGAACTTGGTAGAAAAGTAAAATATAATACTTTATGTTTTATTTTTTTTTTTTTTTTTGTTTTTGTTTTGGTACTTTCCCTTTTCATATTGTTTTTTTTGTATATTGTGCTCTATAAATTTCAGTTGCATTTATAAAAACGATAAATTTCTATGAACAGAAGGTTCGTCAATAAAAGAGCATCCAAATAACTTCATAGATAAATAACGGGCAGTTGTTGCATGTCGATACAATTTTAATAATAATATTTTCATGCATATCTTTTACATCTAGTGAAGACTTTTACGATTTTAAAGAGACATGAAGTTTTTGTTTACTGATAAATAAAAATCTGTCCTTATAATTTCGAGTTCCAAAACCTTTTTAATCTGCCAAATTTAGTATCAGTTTTTATATTATTTAAATGAACAGAATATCTTATAACGCATATACATATATAAGTTTAATTATATTTTGGGCACTAGTTTGAAATTGGGAGAATTATTGAATTTGATCTTAAAATGCTTTCAGCTTGATATCGAGTAAAATCACATTTATAAATACATCTCTGCTAATATCAATGAGCTGACAAGACCTATTTATTGCTATTTGCTTTTCGCGAATTGTTCCAAACAATCGTTTAAGTTCTAAAGTATTTATATAAATTAAAAAAAAAAAAACAATATGCTACAATCACAAAATATGGTTACAACGGTGATGTGTTTGAAATATTGCTTACTGTTTTAATCCAGTTTTTCAAGCGCGCCTTTTTATGCGAAAAAAATTTTTTTCTATATATAATTTTAAGGGTTTAGGGTTGAAATTAACTGTAACTAATAATTTGTTGATAATAATATTTTTAAAAATGTGTTATGTTTACGTATGTAGCGGTTCTACGTAATTTGCGGGGTAAAGGCCAACACGCCCATTCATGCGCCCTTTGCACCAACCTTGCTCATCTTCGTCTTCTAGTTTCTCAAAGACCTCACCTTGATATAAAACGGACATATTATATAATCATATGTATATATAAAACGGGCATATATAATCTTATGTATTTCAACTCCTTTCCTATTACCTTGTTTAAATGTCAGCTCATCATCTTCGGCTCCTTCGTAATCATATAAAGCCTTAACTGGAATACCTTTCTCGCCATTATCCACTAACACATTATCACCCTCATCCCATTCCTCCTCTTCCTCGAAGGGATTGACTTCGGGTTTGCTGTTACCGTTACTAATAGATAAATTGTATAAAATATGCTTTGCCTTACACAATGAAAACAAAATAAATTAAAAAGGTTGCGCCCAACTCTCATTTGGCGACTTATACCTTTTTCAGACAGAAGATTTCACCTTAATAAAGGTGATCTTTTTAGGCACCCTTATTATAATGGAATATATCGTGACTATTTAAAAAATATCTTATTGTATGTTAGAAAAAAAAAAAACTTACGTTACGCTTGAATTGCGGTTATTTGCAGTTGAGGTTGTACTGAAACCTTTCCCGGTCCCCGCAGCTGTGGACCCTGTTGCCGATGTTGGGGAAGACGAAGACTCTTGTTGGATGGCCTTTCCACTACCTTTGCTTGAATATGATGCATTTTTCTTTAGGCTATTCGTATTATAATCCTAAATGTAAATTTAGGGTCAACGGAAAACTTGTGCATATAACAATATTAATATTTAATTAAACATACATGTGGGTCCTCAGCGACTGGTCGCTGATTGATGAGTGTAATTGGTGCTGCCGGAAGTGCCTCCTTTGATTTGCTACCCTTTGCTATATCACGGAACTCCTCAGTATACTCCTAATTTTTTTAAACAAATTTTAATTAAATGAGTATGCAGTTTTATGTAAAAGCCGAGTACATACCACAAATGCTGGCCAATTCATAGCCATATTGACACCATGATTATTCGACCACCATTTGAGATCCTTTTGTTGGTCCGCATTATTTATGGTATGGTAGAATTCTTCATATATTTGTGGTAGACTATAACGTAATGAAATGTATTGGCTGATAAATTACATTTTCTATCGAACGCATATAATAAATAATACCTACCATTGCACCTTCGTGAGGTCCAAGCAGGAGTGTATGTTAAATAGGACCTCTTTGAAGAACATTAATCGAGTCCTCTCCATGGCTTGGCACTTTTCAAACACCGACGTCATATCCTCGATGTATACCGAATTATATTTGGTAATCTCCGCGATAGATTGTTCGTATTTCTCTCGACATTTAGCCACTTGATCTTTAGTTTTTTGAACGCGATCATGCATTTTTTTCACCTAAATGAAAAAGTTTTCCGTTTTATAACCATTAGGCCTAAATTAAACATTTGTGAATTTGTTATATACATTCAACTTTTAATTTGCCTACTATTAAAAATGTATGATGTGAATCTGGTTAGATCAATGGAACTAACGTAAAGGTCAGACAAATGCCAATTTTCATGACCTCTTAAATACAGATGTACATAAATACAAGTCATTGATTTTGTGATTACCTTAAAATAATTTTTAAGGCGGTGTGTGTTTATATCTAATATAACCAGTTACTTATATCTTTTTTATACTATATTTTCACATTTCTAATCTATTACTCACGATGGGTATTGCAACATAATGTTAATTTCGATATGCGAATAAAAAAGTATTCTTATCTATGGAAAATAGTTAAAGAGCGCTGAAAAGCTAATTAAGTAACTCGCACACAGAAAAAATTAAAATATTTTTATTACACGTTTAACAATGAAAGCTTATAACAGATACCACTATCTATCTAATTTCATTAACCAGAATAACCATTTTAAACTTTCTATATACACCTACGATAGTTAATGAATAAATTTTAAATATGTTTTGATTACTTTTTGTACTTCTGGCAATACTTTTAGTATTTGCCACAATGTCTGGATATAGTGAACGTTTGTGGAGTTTCATTGTATAGATGCCGTCACTATTATATAATCTGATAAACAATCTAGGATGCACACCTACCTGGTCTGGCGATAATGAGCTATCTGCTGTGGCATTCCGTTCCTGATTGGTGGCACTACGTTCTGTTTTACAAGCAGCGTGATAATCAGACTTTGTCTTCTCTACTTTAGCTAGTAATTTAGCCCAAGGTTTTTGAGCCTTCTTAAACATATCCTCCATATCCTTGCGTTGCTTAATCTGCATCAGCGTATGATGGTAGTTGTCTTTCTGCCAAGATTTTATTTGGCTGTTTACATCGTTACAGAGGTTTTCTTTTATTTTTAAGTGCACGTCACTGATGCGTTCAGCTTCCGTGAGTACACTTTTCCAAGCGGCTTCCGAAGTGCCATATTCGGGACCTAAATTATAAAAATTTAGTAAAATTATAAAAATTTAGTAAATATTTATAATTTTATGTTTGTTAACCAGTGGGATCTCATTTAGTATATAATGTCTAAAGTCCAAATGAGGCATTCAGACTTTCAGTATAAAACTAAACGTTTGTGGCAGTTAAAAATTTGTTGTTGTTAATATACTGATTTAACAGTGCTTGACCGGATACAAAATTCGGGTCCGTTCCGATTACGTAGATCCGGCTGTAGTGGTAACGCATTTAGTCTCAACCCTTTAACATTCTCTATGAAAGTGAAAATTACTCGGTTCATTTCCTTCTATACAATTAAGTACATGCGCTTTGTACTTTGTATTAGCAATCGATTTTTGAAACCTTTGCAATGACATATTGCAACAAAATTCAAACGTAAATTGGTCATAACAGACTCTACGTAAAATATGTATGTAAACATTTAAACAACACATAATAGGTTATTTGAAAAGCTTACGAACGAGCAATACTACATACATATATAGATACGAGTCATATTGCATCTAGGATTAGACCAGATCTTATCTTGTATATGCTTATAAGCAATGACAACATGCCTGATGCCAATACTAATTACATTCACATAACGATGACACCTCGCGAATAAATGTTTGGATGTTTACGCTAAAACTTGAATTACTTCCAAAACATGAGCTCATCTGAACAATAAAAACATTTAGGCACAACTAAAGCGCGATCGCCTATAGAAAACAGAACAGGTAAGGGACGTATTTAATATACATATGTACATCATTTGTTTAGTTTTCGTGTGATTACGGCTTTGTCGACGAATTCCATGCATAAATAATATATGTATATTCTGGTAAAATTAGTAACTCAAACATTACAATATAAAAGTAAGACTTAAATTTAGAATTCTCCATCACATAAACTAAGGCTTTTAAGAACGCTTTCGATGGCGTTATAAAACAAAAGCAACATATACTGAATGGCCGAATTTTTTTTCAAACTTATAAAAAAAAAACCGCGAAATATGACCTAAAAATTACAACATGTAGTAAAAATTAACAATAAAAGCACAGAAAAGCCAATATAATACAATACCATTTTACACAACTAGCTTAGTTACATTGAATACGTTCGAGATATATAGAGAATCTTTGCGGAAACAGCAAAAAATAGCATATAAAATGTTTTGTTTGGTATTTCTTTTTTGAGTGCTCTACTTAAATAAGTACAAAAAACTACCAAACCATATATAATAATCTAAGCATGTATGGCACTTGGTATAATAGTAGCAAACGAATCATAGTAAGTGGTTTTATGTTTGCTCGCTGGAAGTATGTTCACATTAATGTCTTCAGTTAAGAGAAATACCTTAGCGCTACCGGAACGATAAGGCCTTTTATAGTTAGATCAGTTAAGTTTTTACAGTTAACAATAGGATTCATAATAAAGTATCCTTTTACTGATTTGTTATGCTAATAAATATGGTTACATTCAATTACCTTTTTCGATTAGCTCTCCCCATTTTTTCGACCATGCACGTAAATTCTTCGCATATCCTTTTTCAATATCGGCACGTTCCTGTATAAGTGTCTGCAAATCATTGCAAAGCCTGTTAAAGCGAAAGCAAAGTCGTGAGTTGATTGAAAATAGCAGAAAGTAACAATGACGTATCCTTCTAACTCACTTGTAGCCATCTTCAATTCGTTTAGTGGTGCGCTTGTAGTTACCAGGCTCCCAAAAGGAATCACTACCAGCCTGTAAAAGGTGATCATCGCTGTGATGCGACATGACCTAAAAATGTATAGAAATAGTCTAGTGACCAATTTTTTGAAATGCTTTTAACTAATACACATTTTTTGAAGCACATTATATCAAATACATAAATGCTTGTAACTTTGCGATATGCGCTATCTCCACACTTTATTTGCGATTTAACATTTAACACAAACCGGACAGATAACTAAACGTACTACAATTGTTACACGGGCGTGACGCTCATAGATATGTAAGAATTAGGTAAATATATCTCACTGACGAAGCTACAGCTGCAGCTACAATATTACCGAACGGCGGGATCGCTATTTTTTGTTAATTAACCGCGCTCGCGCGTATAAAAAGAGAGATCAATAAAGAGCGCGTTGCTTAGAGTTTAGACGAGAATGTAAATTTTCCATATACGGTTTTTATTTGTGTATATTATTTTCTACTTAATTTGTTAACTGATGAGCATATGCTTACATAAGAAAGATTAATATTTTCAGCCTTAAAAGCGGTAAAATATATACACATATGGCACCTGACGCGATTGACTGTATATTTTATTTTAATATTTCGATTTACTTTACGTTGTGGCCAATCCAAAATATAAGAAAATTTCTTTGAAATGGAAAGCGAAATAAAAGTTGAAGATACTTTAAGTTATGCACGCGTCGGGTTGGTGCCCCAAAACTTACTGTCAGCAACGATATCATATGCGAATACAAAAAATCGCACACGATGTAGTCGTGGAATTCTTGTTATTTTTCTATTACTATATACTTACCTGTCTAACGTATACTTAACTCAGTTGTATATACACTGCTTTGACTTTGGGCTTCTTGTTTCGATAAAATTGCTGATAGTAACGGAATACTCTTTCCAATACCGATTCTCTTATATTATATTAAGATCTCTTTTAAATAACTGAATACAAGTACGTGAACTTACATTGATTGGTGTATTCCAATACTTTGGGGAGCATCTTTTTGTGCGCTTCTAATTGGATTGACATATTGGCACATTTTAATGATACTAGTACACATTTTGAGTTGATAACACAGTATGGTAAAATAAGAAAGCTCTATGTAGGATAGTTAAAGATGTTCATGCCTATATACACATGTATGTACACTACAAGCAAATCTAAATTGGCGTTAGAACTTCAAATTAGAAAAGCCATAAGTTTGTTTGAAACATATATTAATAAGCCGAAGCTGGCTTCCAGGTAAAAATGCGAAATTTGAACCTATTGCGGAATAAACCAAACTTATTGGACAATCATTGGTTCTACGCTTTATAAATATCCATAAATTTTTGAGAGAACTCTTATTTCTTCAATAATTTACAAATTACCCGTGGTACGGTTGTAGATTATAAATCTTACAGTACAAATTTTGGTGAAATGATGTTTTCCCCTATTTATGTACAAAATGTCAACATTGTTTATGAGGAACAGATTGGTTAAATCAGTCAGATACAATGATATCTATACTGCAAGCATTGATAAAGATAAACATTTCATTTTTAGAGGTTTAAAATTTACCATTTAGTATATTTTTTTCGTGGTATCAAAATATTGCAAAAAAATCGCAAATAATAAGCAAAATTGTGTACAAGCGTCGTTGGATAATAAACAAGATACGGGTTGTAGTGAGAAGGTTCTACTTACTTCAATCCACTGAATTCTAAATACTTTGTTGCAATGTGTTCCAAAATGGAGTAGCAGCAATATTTTTTTATATGTTAAAGACAGTTGGATGAACAATGTTGAAAAAATGCCGCATCAATAACTTTAGATATTTTCTATCATATGTATAAATGAATGAGTAACACTGCAATACACAAATCTGCAGCCTAAAACGGTGGCAAAATGTCGATTTATGCCTAATTATTCCTTGTCCACAAGATTCTTCACAAGTTTAGAAATATCTATATTTGTAAATAATGAACTATATTTATATTTTGTAATGTGTTAGTGACAAGAAACACTCCCTAAAACAACAGGATCTCGCTTTCTATTTTCTATTTTTCCCCAACTTACGTTCCGTTTTTGCGTCAAAAAATTATTCGTTTGTCTGTTTAAAAAAACGATTGGAATTAATATTTACCTACTAAAAAACACACAAAATAGTTGCACAACAGTTATAACTAAAATTAGCACTTATTTTTTCTAAAATATATGCGACAATCTGCGAAAAAACTCACACGCGAGCACAGAAACGACATCGACCGAATTTCACAGCAATGAAAGTAAAGAGTTGCCAGTCGGCAATATTTCACTACACACATCTTAAATTAACAATTGATATTTCATACTCAAAAGCCTCACAAGTTGCACGTTGTGTATGGTTAAGTTTTCGGGCAAATTCCTTCAATATATTGAAGATCTGAGCGTCATTCCTTATAAAAACAGCATGATTTTATCCAATTCACAAATACTTACGCAGAAATATTTCTAAGTATTCTGCAACATGAATGTCAATAATTATTGCCGGCGGAGACAAGGCATTAAGACTTCATCTTTCCGGCAACATTATATTATTCCAGGGTTGATTAGCAATCAATAATTTATTTGGAATGTGACAATTTTGTATACTTATGTATATTCTGGAAAACTTGTTAATGAAACTTTTAATGTAAACAAAACTAAAATGGATATGTAAGCAAAGTGGCAGAAGCTATTAATTTTCTTTTTTTATATTTCTATGGAAATTAATAGAAATTACTTTGACTACTGGCGAAAACATGACGTCACAAATACTAAATAAATAGTTTTTTACTAGCTCTTTTGACTGACGGCGTAAAAGTGACGTCACAAATTCTAAATAAATATTTTTTTATCTCTCTTTTTTGTTTTTTTACAGTGGTTCACACATATTTTATTTTACGTTAGTTAATATCCCGATTTTCTACAATTATAATTTATGTGATCTGAAAGTTAAAGAAAGCAGACAAATGTTTGTGAACGACTACCATTAACACGTTAGTATGTTTAATATTTTGTGAGGTCACCTCGGGACTTTCAAGCCACATCACATCGAGGGGAGAGAGTCACCTAGGTACTGTTTAGGGTTGGTGCCTGCTTTGCTTATAGAGCCAGCTGACATTCAGCATTCACTGCAGTCAACTCGTGACTTACATATCAAATCAAATCGAGGCGCGAGAGTTACCTCAGCACTGATCAGTCACGGTGCCTTATTTACTTATATAGAGCCAGCTTGCAGCCAGCTTACCCTGAAGTCACCTTATGACTTCCAAATCAAATTACATCACGACATGAGAGTCTTCTCAGCACTGGCCAGGCACGGATGCTTAGCTTCACGTGAGGTCACCTAATGCCTTTCAAATCACATCCCATCGAGCTGTGAGGGTCACCTAAAAATTGGTCAACCGCGGTGTTTTTATAGAGCCAACTTCCGTGAGGTATCTCATGACCTTTAAATCACATCACATCGATGCGTGAGAGTCATCTAAACACGGGCCGGGTATGGTACCTACTTTACTTACATAGAGATAACCCTCCAAATCATATCGAACAATTTTCTGTTCCAGTCTTATTGTAAATTACATAAGAGGCGTTAAATAGAAATAAGCTGATATTAAATAATTAATAAATAAGTTCCCATAATTTGTATTACATATGATATGCCATTGATATTTCCTTTATTATTGCCACAAATACTACAATTTAAATGAATGTTTGTGCAGATTACCGTGATTTATTACAAGAGCGGCAATGCTATTTTCCATCGCAACATTTGTAGGTAATTAAAGTATACACACAGGCCTGCGACTTTTCATCAAAGAATTTATCGCCACTGCACCGTTTCTTTTCAATTTCCTCACCATTTCTGCAAACCGTATAGCTTCTGCAATTGTCGTCATTAGTTTGAACATCCATGTCACCTCGACCTTGGCATCGATTATAACTGCAATCCGATTCGGTAGGATCTGTACATGATGAGCTCGTTTGGTCGAATAATTTGCCAGCTGGACATTGCATAAAGATGGGGTTTAAGTCATTTTCCTTTCCATAATCACGACAGTAAAAATACCCGCGACATGACACACCATCGGAATAGAAACCTTTGCGACTTTTACAATCAAATTGTGGCACGCAAGGATATTCCGGTAACTTTGTTCCACAGGCACTAGTTTGTACATCGAAGTATTTTGTGCATTTTTGGCTTACACTCTTGCCATTTTTACACTGGTAGTAAGTACTGCAATCTGTTGAATTACGGTAATTCGTGCCATCCGGTACTAAGTCACAAATTTCTGGTATAATATTACAATAGTTCACATTTTCAAAATCGCACATTGATTTGGCTTCATTGAAATAATAACCATTCCCACAATAGCCCTGCAGTGGTTGACCATTGTCACAGTAGAAATATCCCTTACAAGTAGCTGGGTCGGTTACCCATTTACCATTAATATTTAAGCACCGATTGCGGCAATAGTCGTCACCATCAGAAAGTTTGGCTTCTGAGACACAATTTTGTGCGCTGCGATCAAATTTTTGCAGAGATGGGCATGAGTACATAACACCCGTAGAGTTGGAACAATCTATATATTCTGTGCATGACCCGGGATTTCGAATGCGCGTTCCACTCTAATGAATTGTAACGACATACGATTTTTGGATATTAACTGAGAACATAATGAACATAATGCATAAATGAAAACATTTATACATACCTTGAAAAGACTACACAATTCCCTTGGATCGGTTAATATGGTTACACATGCGCCAAAGTCATTTAGGTAGAAGAGCAGATTAAGTATAAGTAATGCTGTAAATTGTATAAACGTAAGTAAGTGCGCAAGTGCTGTTGTCTTAAAGTCGTATTATCGTTTAAATTTCCTTATCATGCACAAGATTAGAGAAAAATTTACCGTTGATATATAATTCGACTCTCCAAAAGTCAATCAAATAATTTTTGTTATTATTTAGTTTGAAACGAATGTTCGAAAATTGCTTATTTTTAGTTATACAAAGACAAAAATACACAAGAGAATAATGATAACTGATCTTTTTCTCTATAAAATCGCGTATGCGGGGATTGTTTACAAATGATTGTGAACATCTCTGCCTTAGAGACTGTGGGACTAAAAACAGTTTCGAGTCACTGATTTTTAAGTTCAAATCTGAAAATACTGTTGCAAGGGAGATAAGTGATTTCGACAAGTCATCAATAGAATATGTAAATGCACCTACGTATTTAATTTCATTCGGATATCTCAAAATCTGACGAACAGATTTTTATGATCCTTAAAAAACTTCACCTTAGACCTTTAGTCTCTTAGGCAAAGTAGTTCAGAATGATGCGCAGAAAATTTCCCACAAACGCAATTTTTCCGTTTTTTGGCTCCCTGCAAATCAACACGCTCTAATGTGTATAGCATTGAGATCTCTGGATATCTTATGCACAAAATCGTTAGATTTTGTTTTACACTTACACTTTTTTAACATTTTAATAATTGCATTAAATATCTATTAACAAGTCAAGAAGCTATTTTACCGCAGTCCACCTCAGAGCTTTTGCTTACGATGGTCACTTGATACTGGAATGAGATTTCTTACGTTCAGCACTTTTAAATAGATACGTCCGACTCTCACTAATTTTACTGGAACATATTCGTATATGTACATACATGTGCATATATATTATTTGTTAAACTTATGTAGTGATTAAGAAAATCTGACCATCCACATATGTATGGGCATATCTTAGTATACATATATACAAATTTGTATACATATATTTCCTTCATTTTAAAACATAGACGTATATGGCACAATATAGTATAATATTAAAATTTACAATTGCACATATGGGTATATATTAAATATATATGTATATGTTAAGTACCTTGAATATTGCGATTAAGTAAGTGGTGTTCGTTTTAAATTTATTGTTTAAAAGAATTTAGATAATCCTTTTATAAGCCGATAACTGAGATTGTAAGCAAATGTTTCGACAACGTAATACTAAATTTAAATTGAAAATATCCTATATTAAATATTTTTTCGATTATTTACCAAAGAACGCTCGCACAGCAGTTTATCTGTAGATTAGGGTGTTCGTTATTATCAAAGTTAATTTTTGGCGACGCTTCATGACGATTTCGCCTTTACATTAAAAACAGTGAACCAACGTAAATCAGCTCTTTATTTTCAATTTATGTAAGCCGTACGTCAATCACGTTTTCTTTCCCATGTACATATATAAAATTGAATTTTGAATTAATAATAATTAGAATATTAATAATGTTAAGTTAGATCTTTTGTAATTTTACGCTCTACAAAATAGGTCTAAATAATATTATCCATAAAGAGGATATTAAGCATGCTTTACATACACCATGTCGTATGAGCAACCAATAATACAAAAGGTACACATGAATTCTCAGTATAATTGATGCTTAACTTTAACTGCGTATAACTTTTAAAATATTGTGTTTATGAAAAAAAAGGTAAAATCGAAAACGGCGAAAAATTTGGAATAAACTACTACCTTTCTAGGTTGTCGGTTTATTTTCTTTATACGCCATTCCTAATATATTATATATGTACCTCTATACATAAGTGTTAGTTTTATTAACAATACCTGCCTTCCCGATAATCATAATGTAATACTTCGGGGTATGGAGAAAGGTAAAGATTTCGCAAAGTGTCAATGGTTATGGGCACAGAAAAATTTTGGAAGCAACTTGACCTACCGTAATCTTAAGACACTGTAAACATCATTCGCAAAAAGATCTTGATTGATATGCATTCAGAAAGACCCTTAATAGGTAAAATGCCGTTACCTGAGTGTTAGATTTTTTCAACATCTCGCTGGTTATACGACTATAGGCTTTTAATTAATACTTTAATTCCCTTGCAGAAAAACAGTTGAGAGCCCATCAAATAAATGCTATATTTGTGATAAACGAAAGTAGTACCTAAAGACTTCCGCAAGTGGTAACCGTTAATAGTTAAAAAAGATCTCGAACTGTTTTATGTGAATCATAGTATGATTAACTCGTAACTTAGTGCAAGTGATAATCTTTGAACAGACCTAGAACTACTTAAGCAAAATTCACGTATTGAACGCCGGATGTTCTTATTTATTAAATAATATGAATATATATAATTTTTAAAATATAATTTGATATTACTGATTCTATATATCATATGTATATGTGCATATATTATACTAATCATTTTCTAACACAAGATGTGTAAGTAATTGGTGTAGAAATACAGGCGGTCAAATTTTCATCGAAAAAGTAGTTGCCACAGCTCTTCTCCTCCTCTGTTTTGCCATTTTGGCATCGTAGATATTGCCGACAACCTGTTTCGCTGCCACTCACAAACGTTAGTGAACGACCTTCGCAACGATCTGCACCAGTAGGACATTTTACATTCAAAGGGTTTGCACAAGAGCTTGTAGCGGTGTCGAAAAAGGTATCATTTTTGCATTGGTCCCAAACAGGTGCAGGATCTGGTATAGAACCTTTGTCAGCACAATAGAAGTAACCACGACATGTGGCATCATCGGTTACGAATTTGTTCTTCAAGGGCGTCTTAACAGTTCCACAAACGTTATCGGGGAATGGAATTTTCGGACAATTTACTTTCCACTTTTCATAGCAAGCGCCAGCAGTTGAATTATAATACTGACCACTTGCGCAATTCTTAAGAGTTAGAACTCTTTTAGTACATTGATAATATTTACGGCAATCAGATTCATGAGCTACTTTCGTATCGGTCTTAACAACTGAACATATGTCAAATGATCTTAGTGTACAGCTAGATTTTGATTTATAGACACAAGACTGAGCCTGGAAATCAAAATGTAAATCATTTGGACATATTCCGTGGATTGGCGTAGTCTCATCCTGGCAAAAGTAATAGCCTTTACATGTTGTTTTATCGCTAATGAATCGACCCACATGTTCCAAGCAAGAAAGCTGACAGTGACGGTCATCAGATAATGTTTTCGTGCACTTCATAGTGGAATTATCGAAGTACGGAGTAGATGTAGCGCAGCGCGTGTATTCCGATACTGAATTATTACAGGTGATATAATGGTTGCATGAGGATGGGTCGGCAACGTCTGTTTTATCTGGAAAAAGTCGGCAAATATCATCGGTATCGGGCGGTATAGTGCTGCTGGTGAAGCCAACCAACAAGAACATCAACATCTGCGCTGCCGCTGGAGCTAAAATGTTGGAATATTATCTAATTTTATGTGTAAATCCATTTATTTTGAAATATGTATGCATGAATGTATTATGTATGAAAGCACGTTAAAAATGGAGTTTAATGTATGTGTGCATTTATTTATATTATGTCCAACCTTTCATTGTACGTCCAAATATTAACTTGTTCAAGTCAATTAGCTTTCAGAGAACTTAAGCACTTGCCTTGCTTGTAATCATTGGCGGTTTGCTGATGTTTATATTTGATACTTCTATTTATTCATTTTCGCAAACCACATAACTCAATCAAGTTGCCAACAAGAGCAATAATGCTAATATTTGATTAAATATATATATATTATGTGCTCATAAAAGTATGGATAACCGGTAGGAAATCGTAGTTCCATTAGATATTGAAAAATTACAGCTGAAAAACATAAATAATTTTCATTCGTAGTATTAAAGATGATTTCTAACACGACTCCTTGGGACGAAGGCCCAACCAGACAGTTCTTTTTTTCTAGTATGTCTGTAAATTTATTTACAGGTCATATTAAAATAAATGAATAATACGACTCCAGTTATGCTCTTGACGTGAAAATGACTGAAGGAAAAGGTAAATTTAGAAAAGAACGATTTCAAATTTAACGAGAAGGGGATGGGACATATCGTCACCTAAAATGTAAAACAACGTATCAAAAAATGGAATCTAACATTCTGCATTTGTAACAAAAATGTGTTGCACTAGCTGAGAACTTCCTGTAGGATTTCAAGTTCCTACAAACGATTTCAAGTTATATTTTTGCGAGCGGTTTTAAACAGAGATGTATTTACATTTTTAAAGCAACATTATTTAGATAAGAACAATGCTCGTAAATCTGTCCATAGGGGTGGACTTCGGTATATGTTATTTAAGATGCGAATAAATATAATATATTTTCGGCTCCGGCTCATCTTTGCACGAAATTCGACCGATTAATAGTCTGTTTTCAGGTGGTAAACATAGATCCAAGACTCATCACCGGTAATATTACTTTTCGTGACATCCTGATAGTCGACTTTTAACACATATTGTAATCTGATTGAGACTAAATTACTTATGATAATTAATACTTAGAATAATTTTTGGCGTACTTACACTCATTTATATAGACCTTATTCAGCATATCTAAAATATAAAAGAGTATAAGTGTTAAAAATGAATTCAACGCCTTAATAAATATTTCAACAGTTAAAGAATCTCGGCGTTTATTACTAGAATGTCTTTTATCTAATCTGAATTTCATAAAATAACAAATTTGCAAGAAATGCTTTGAGATAAATTCAGTAAGTCGCTAATAAATCAATTATAATATTCAGGTGTTTTCCAATATGCTATAAAAGCAAAATACTTTGCTGTGTGCAATCAGTTTACATTTGAAACTAAGTGATATTTTAAAGAATGGAAGGTCCGTGTATAATAAATTAAATTTAGTTCTACTCCGAAATCCGATTATTTTGTTGTACTTAGGCAGTGTTAGTGCTTCAGCGATTATGTTCTATAAAAGCGTGCTTGTCGATGATTCTCTTCGTAAACTGGCGGTAAATCACTGCATCAAAGGAAGCCGAATTCAACCTCTCTATTCTTTATTCCCTTTGCAAGCGCCACATCGATTGGGATGTGACGAACGAACAAGATAACAGCTATTTCTTATAAGACAATAAGAGTGTTAGTATTTTTACGGCTTCAAAGTACATATCTAAGGCAACACCTCTATTTCAATTAATCTTGCTACATCCTTAACTACCAAACATCATACGTTCGAACAATTTGTCTGGCCATGCATCATAGTAGAGATTATTCAAGATGAAATCACAATATGTGATTTTCACAAAAATTTACTTCAGAAATATGACAATTTTTATTTTTATTTTATTTTTATGTTTACATTAAAATACTATATTATGTAATATAATTTTCTTTGTTTTGCTATTGTAGGCTTTCGGCTGGTGGCATTAGTAACTCTTCTATTTGAAATACTTGGTACTGTTCATTGTCAGCAAGTCTTGAGCACGGAAAACGACATTTGCAGATTCTTCAAAGATGGCGTCTTGTTGCGAAAGCCAGGCTTTTGTCACATCGGCATAAAGTGTGAGAACTTTAAAAGCACTACTGCGATCGAATGTGAAAAAGATCAGTTTTATAATCGAAATACTAACGAATGTGAAAAAACTTCTTCCGACAAATATTGCGCAACTGCATGTACTTCAAAAACTCAGGGGTATATTGCGGATACTAAGAACTGTCAAGGCTGGTATAACTGCAAAGGCTCCACCACGGTTAGCTTTGGCTCTTGTGCGAGTAATCTGGTTTTTAATGTTAATGAAGGCATGTGTGATTATCCGGAAAATTACTCTTGTAAAAAGAAATTTAGTTTTTGTGATGTTGTGCCCAATTCAGTACCATTTTTGCACGAGACGAACTGTGCTGGCTACTACGAATGTGTGAAAGACAAACTAGTTGAGCAGTCTTGTGAATACGGTAACTACTTTGATGTTGAAACAGGAACTTGCATTCCAAGAAATAAAGTTAATTGTGCAAAATATCCGATTCCTGATGAAGTGTGCGGCAACAAAAAACTTGCAATTAGAAATCGCTTTGTCAGTGATGACGCTTCTTGTCGTGGCTATTTTTACTGTAAAGACCTTGGTGTTGGCATCCCTGATACAGCACCGGTTTGGGGACAATGCTCGGAAACAAGATTTTTCGATCCCATAGAAGAGGCATGTTTGCCTCGGGCGCATGTGCGATGCGTTGACGATCGGTGCGACGGTCGAAATGACGGTTATGAGATAAGTTCACAAACGGGTTGTCAACATTACCTTATTTGTAAAGGAAACCGTACTTCAGAGGAAATATATTGTGGGGACGATAAGTGGTTTGATGCAGAAAAAAATGAGTGCACCACCACTATTAAATCGTATCCAGCTTGCTCTTAATTCTATACTTTGTTGTTGATCCATATAATTGTAACTATACTCAACACTAACACTATTATCAGTTCATAAACCTTTTTCAGTTCCACAATTAATTAATTAATATGTAAATTAATAGACAGAAAATGTTAAAATAAAACATTTGTATAAATATGATCAACTCAGTTTTATTGGTGGCCTACTTACCACTCACACTAAAATATCCTCATTGCATATTATCCGAAATATTCATTGGATACAAAAAAAAAAAATTCATTCTACAAAAGTTATGTTAAGCTGCTCATCAAAGCACTGAAATGACTATTTATTTTCTTTCACTTTACCCATAATTAGAAATTTTTTAAATTAAAATTTATTTATTATGAACGAGACTGTGCAAGCTGATAATGCATTTCTATTTATCAATAATGAAATGCATACAAATTCTCTGGTACTCTGCTAAGAAACGCTGTATATATATGTAGCATGGAATGTAAACTATCCATGTTAATTACAGAATAAAATGAATGTTGGTAAACAGAAAAGGGTAACAAAAGTAATGTGACTGCGCAACTGATACATATATTTTTAAATTTATGCTTGACTATGTACAAAAGATATTCTGTTAAAAATTACTACGGCAGCTGTTGAAAGCTGGAAGGATCTTGTTCGATACAGTGGTAACTAATTCCTTTAAATTTTATACATGATAAAAACGAAGCTTTATGTTAACATGCAATAACTTGCCATATGCAATTTCTGCATAAATATACCATAAAATTATTATTTTAATTTTTTATAAGCACTTACCGCATTATATTTAACTTCGTGTCACATCATCTGCAATAAATTCAAACACCTTATTTACAATAACATAAGTGTTCTGCTTGTGCTGACGCTTAGCACTCAGCTTTTGCAATCATTAATTTTTTCACTTTGACTACACAAATAACAACTTTCGATTACTTTTTTTATTTGTAAACGGTAAAATTGAGCAACTTCAACTTAATACTACTAAAAACTTCTTAAATGTAGCTTTAATTCCAAAGCTAATTTCACTTTTCGCCGAGCTGCTGTATATGTCACTTTCACGAACGCGTTATAAGATAGCGACGGAAATTATGAAAGACCAATCATATTCAAACTTCTAAATTGATGCTCAGCTTTTGCACTAATTTTTACTTTGACTTTTACTACACAAATAACAACGCCCGATTACTTTTTTTTACTTTACGAAACGATTAAATTGACAAACTTCGACCTAATTCTACTAAAAACTCCTTAATTGCAGCTTTAATCCCTAAACTAATTTCACTTTTGACCGAGCTGCTGCATATGCCACTTACATGAACGCATTTATAAGGAAACGAATGTTCGAAATGGCGGCGGAAATTATAAACGTTGTCATATGAATGTTTCTCAGCGCATCTACGATATTCGTCTGACTAATGGCTACAATCATTAGTGGATATTATGAACGTGAGCTATAGATGGCGCTCATATTACTCTTTGAAATTATATAATGCACATATTTGTTTATTAAGAGCTAAAATTTCAAAGTTGGATAATATTTCTCTGACAAAAATATTTTTTACTTATCTAATAACTATTTTGTGGTTTACGGTGATACATTTTCATTTAGACAACCAACAAGGGTGGTATTCTATAGAATGTAGTGTCATCTGCTGACAACAGTCTGATTATTGACGAGTATCTAGCCAATATACAAGAAAAATCAGAAGTGTGATTACTATTAGTTTAATGAAATCTAAATAACAAGCCAGTCGTACGAAAACCATTTGAAATTATATTTATTTTACATATCTATGTTTTTAGAAGTACTTTGAAATCCTATGACACCCTGTTCTAGTTACTGAAGCGGTTTAGTGTCTGCAGAGCTTTTTAAAAGCTCAAATATGATTGGTCGTTCTTGATTTCCGCCGCCATTTTAAACATACATTTCCTAGATTCTCGCTTGCGCCGGTGGAATTTGCAGCAGCTCGGTGAAAAGTGCAATATTTTAGGTATAAAAGCTGCAATTTATAGTGTTTTTAGTGAAATTAAGTAGTAATTCGGGATTTTAATCGTTTAACAGTGAAAAATGTGATCGGGCGTTATTAATTGTGTATTAAATGTGTTTATAGTGATTCGTGGTAGTAGGCACACGCAGCGGACTGCCTGAAGGTGTAGATAAAATGTATTTCAGAAGTAGGTAGGGACACCTACATACATATATATACTTTGTATATGGGAAGCAGAGTGCGCTTTAAAGCATTAAGTGAGGTAAGTCC